CAGGAAGATAAAACCCATCAGTGTCAGCGATTCAGGGCGAAGAATCCCGGCTGAAAGTTCGGACTTTGCAGCTCTGTGACTTTCAGGAACCGGGAGATTCCCGGTCCCGAGCACCAGTTTCACAGCCGGGAAAGCCCCGCAGCATTCCCGGTGCACCGGGACCTAACACAGCTCCCGGGAGGCTCCGTTCTCCTACCGGGAGTGAGGTTCCCGGAGCTGGGGACGGTCCGGGGCACGGCCGGGAATGAACCAAAGGAGAAATAAAACCTCCCGAACTCCCTCTCCTCACTCCAGGTTCGGTTCTCAGCTCCTGTTTCGCTCCACAACGGAGCCACCCCAGCCTGGACCGGGCAGCCGCGGAAATCCCGGTGTTCCCGGGAGAAAACAACCACCAAGAGCAGAATTATTCGGGACAGGAGCAGGAAAATGCCGCTCCCCGAGGAGCCCCGGGGGTGAAGCCCGGGGGATCCGCACCGGCAGCGGCCCCGGAGCGGCCCCGCAGGCCCCCGGGCTGAGCAGGGACCCGCAGCCGGCACCCGCACCCCGCAACCCACCCCGGTACCCCGGGACAACCTCCGGGAGCGGCCCCGGGAGCCGCAGCCCGGCAGCGACCCCGGGAGCCGCCCCCGCCGCCCCCTCAGGCCGCGCCGTGACCCCGCGGGCGCCGCCGACGCCGCCCCGAGGCCCGGCCCCGCCAAAACTTTCCCGAGGCCGAGAGGGGGCCCCGCCGTTACCTCCGAGAGGCTCCATGGGTGGCCCGGAGCGGCCCGGCCCGGAGCGGCCCCGGGGCCCTCCCGCCGTCGTCGCCGCCGCCGCCGCTGAGGCCGCTCCCGGGGCGGGGGGGGACGGACAGAGCGGGGGGGGAAGGCGGAACGGAACGCGCCACCCGGAACGCGCCGCCACCCCCGTTCCCGCCCGGAACGCTTTGGCGGGCGCACGCGGCCGTGCGGGCAGGGGCCAATGGCGGCGCAGGGCCGGGCCGGGCCACGCCCACCTCGGGAGCGGGGGGAGCAGAGCGCCCCCTGGCGGCGGGACCGGGGGGGGGCGGCACCGGGATCCCCCCGGAACCACCGGGAGGGCGCGGGACACCGGGGGGACACCGGCACCACCGGGAGGGGCCTGGGACCACCGGGAGGGGGCTGAGACCCTCTATGTGCGGTCTGAGAGCCTCGGGAGGGGCCTGAGACTCTCTGTGTGCGGCCTGAGAGCCTCGGGAGAGTCCTGGGACCCCCGTGAGGGGCCTGAGACCCTCTCTATGTGGCCTGAGACCCCTGTGAGGGGGCTGGGACCCCCAAGAGGAGCCTGTGACCTCTGTGAGGGGACCAGTACCCCCGTGAGGTGCCCAGGATCCCCAGGAGAGGCCTGAGACCCTCTGTATGTGGCCTGAGACACCTGTGACGAGCCTGGGACCCCCATGAAGGGCCTGAGACCCCCATGAGGAGGCTGAGACCTCTGTGAGGGGCCCAGGACCCCCTGTGAGGGGTCGGTAATCCCTGCCACCATGGGCCCTGAGACCTTGAGGGGTGTCCCCTTCTGTGGGGTCAGTACCCCCAGAGCGGGGTGCTGGAGGGTGAGGGGTCAGCACCCGCTCCCTGAGCCTGATTGCCACTGGGGATCCTTTGCCCAGCATGGAAATATTCCTGTTCCTCACTCACGGCAATGGGAACAGTGCAGAGTGAGGACAGCAGCCCCAGATGGCCCCACATTCCCTGGGACATTCCCTCTCACATTCCCTGGGACATTCCCTGTGCCAAGACCCCCACATCCCTGTGCCATCCCCTGTGCCATTCCCTGTGATGATTCCTGTACCATTCCCCGTGCCATTCCCTGTGCCATTCCCCATGCCATTCCCTGTGCCATTCCCTGTCCCTGTGCCATTCCCCGTGCCATTCCCTGTGCCATTCCCTGTCCCTATGGCATTCCCTGTGCCATTCCCTGTGCCAATCCTTGTCCCTATGGCATTCCCTGTGCCATTCCCTGGGCCCCAGGTGGGCCAGGCCCTGTTCTGGAGCAGTGGCCAGCGGGGGCTGCAGGGGCTGCAGGGGCTGGTGACAAACAGGCCACGTCATGCCCCCAGCTCAGCTGATCCTGATTCTGAATCCATTCTTTGTGTCCTGCCAGGAACCTGCCCTTGTTTGTGTCCTGCACAAAGGGATTGTTTGTGTGGCCGGGCAGGGAAATGTCCAGCACAGAAAGGACAGGCCTGGGGTTTGTCCCTGCTGGCTGCACAGTTTGTCCTCACAGCGGGTCCTGCCTCATGTCTCTGGTGGCCAGCAAGGGGCTGGAGTGATCCCTGTGCTCCAGAGTGATCTCTGTGCTCCACAGGGATCCCTGTGCTCTGGAACAATCCCTGCGCTCCAGAGTGATCTCTGTGCTCTGGAATGTTCCTGTGCTCTGGAACAATCCCTGTGCTCTGGAATGTTCCTGTGCTTCAGAGTGATTTGCTGTGCTCTGGAATGTTCCTGTGCTTTGGATGATCCCCGTGCTCGAGTGTGATTCCCTGTGCTCTGGAATGTTCCTGTGCTCCAGAGTGATCCCTGTGCTCCTCCTGAGTGATTCTTGTTCTCCAGAGTGATCCCTGTGCTGTGGAATGTTCCTGTGCTCCACAGTGATCCCTGGCTCTGGATGATCCGTGTTCTCCACAGTGATGCCAGTGTTCTCCAGAGTGATCCCTGTGCTGTGGAGTGATGCCTGTGTTCCTGAGTGATCCCTGTGTTCTGGAATGTTCCTGTTCTCCAGTAATCCCTGTTCTCCACAGTGATCCTTGTCCTCTGGAATGTTCCTTATCTCCACAGTGATCCCAGTGCTCTGGATGATCCCAGTTCTCCACAGTGATCCCAGTTCTCCACAGTGATCCCTGTGCTCTGGAATGTTCCTTCTCTCCACAGTGATCCTTGTTCTCCACAGTGATCCCTGTGCTCCACAATGATTCCCATTCTCCACAATGATCCCAGTTCTCCACAATGATCCCTATGCTCTGGAATGTTCTCCACATTGATCCCTGCTCTCCACACTGGTCCCTGCCCATTCCATCCTGTTCCCCCCCTGCTCCTGCAGGAGCCACGACGAGGGGTCAGCACAATGTTAACCAGACATAAAATCCCATCTCATTCCACAGCTCCAGTCAGAAACATTCCCAGACCGATCTAAATGATTTTGTGGTGAATTCACCCCTGAGGAGCCAGGAGAGCCTTGGTGCTGCTGCTCCCTCCAGAGCCACACACAGGACAGGGCCGTGGGGACAGGGACAGTGCCCCACACAGGGATGGCACAGCCTGCCCTGGCTGTTCCCCCTTGCAATCAGGAGTGGAGAACCCTTTTGAAATAATCAACACCAAATTCAATCCCTTAAAATAGCAGTGCCATAATCCCAGACAATCCTATTGCCTCAACTTAGGGGCCGACGTCTGTCCTCGTGCCTGGGCAGTGTGGCAGCCCCAGGGCAGGCATTGGGGAGGTTAAATCAGGGTTATTTACAGAAATTATACTTGAATCGATTCTTATTCAAGAATTAGAAGGTTAAAATTATTGTGGTTAAAAAGAGGTTATTAAAATTGTTAAGGTTTAGAAGAATTATAAGGTTTAAATTAAATTACAGCAAATGCAGAGGTGTTTTCCAGCCTAAACAATTCCATGATTCCAACCACTCCCATCCCACCAATCGGCCTGTGGGGTATGAAAAGTGTAAAATTTCTGCAGAATAAAAGTTGTTTAAAATGTTTTACCTGCAAACCAGGGATAAACATCCCACCAGGAAGCCTCAGAGGTTTGGTTTGTGATTCATTTCATTAAAATGGAACAAGAAGTGGTTTGTCTTCCCTGAGAACAAGGACAGAGATGGATTTAAAGAGGAGATGACACCCTGGGTTTGGTTAGTTCACAAATAAAATCCAAAAGCATTTCCTAGGAAACTGGACAATAACTAAACCAGCACTTTCCAGACACTGAGTCATTTAACAATAAGGCCAGAAATCAATCAGATGCAATTAAATCCCAATTTTTTATACCATTTGCTGTTATTGTGTGTATCCTTTGGCCAGGAGCACCCACACACTCCTTAAGGCATCACTTCGGATATGAGAAACAAAATCTGGCAAGAAATAAGAAATGTGAGAAAGAAAATACAGGAATTGTATTTTTCTAGCTAAATCCCTATTTAAACCACTCAAATCTTTGGGGTTTCCACATTTCCAGCCTCTAGGAAAGCAGACTCGAAGAGTTTAGAAGTGAAAAGCAAAATCTCGGCAGGAAATTGAAGGATTAAAGACGCCAAAAGCGTCCGTCACTCTGAGAGGAACCGGGGAGCCGCTTAATTGGAAGTGAAAGGCAGGACACACTCATTAATTAATTGTTATCCCCTCTATAAATAGGGCTTCGGCAGCGGGGGAGTGCCCGGCCCGGGTCAGCCCTGTCCCGCCGGGAATAGCTCCTAATCCCGGGAATAGCGTTCTGCCCCGGGATTAACGGGGCCGGGCTGGTCCCGGGGCGTTCTCCATCCCCGGTTCGGTGGAACCGGGTCACATCCTTTGTCCTTGGGGACCCTCGGTGTGCCGAGCCCTCCTGGGAGCTTGGGTGGGTCTGCGAGGATTTGGGGTGGTTTGGGTAGACCTGGAGGGGGTTTGTGAGTGTTTGGGGTGGGTTTGGTTTGGTTTGGGGTGGGTTTAGCGCGGGTTGGAGCGGGTTTGTGTTGTTTTAACATGGGTTTAACATTGGCTAAATCATGGGTTTTAACATAGATTTTATTTAAGTGTGTCAGGAGTCTGCTTGGGTTCAGTACCAAACTGCTCCGCCCTCCACAGCCACTTCCGCTGCTCGGGTCCCCTCGGGAAGGGAAGGATGGACCGGGGGCTGCGGGACCCCCGGGGCACCGGGGACTGCGATGCCGCTCTCCCTGCCGGACTACAACTCCCAGCAGGCAGCGGGGCCGGAAAGTGCCGAAGCGCGGCCGAGCCTGGCCGAAGCGGAGCCGGAAAGGGCCGAAGTGAGGGCGGAGATTCCCGAAGCGAGGCCGGAAAGGGCCGAAGCGGGGCCGAAGCGGGTGAGGGGCAGCCCGGTAGAGGAGCATCCTCGCCAAGATGAACGCGGTGCTGGCGGTCCGGCAGTACGTGTCCAAAATGATCGAGGACAGCGGTCCCGGTATGAAAGTGCTGCTGATGGACCGGGAGACGGTGAGGAGCGGCCGGGCCGGGAGCGCGGAGGGCGGCGGGGCCGGGAGCCGGGCCCAGCGCCGCCGTGACGGGCGCTGCCCCCGTGCCGCCCGCAGACCGGCGCCGTGAGCGTGGTGTACACCCAGTCCGAGATCCTGCAGAGAGAGGTTTATCTCTTCGAGCGCCTCGACTCGCCCAACAGGGAGCCCATGAAGCACCTCAAGGCCATCTGCTTCCTGAGGCCCACCAAGGTACGGGGCAGAGCGGGGGGAAACGGCCTCGGGTCGTGCTGGGGAGGTTTGGGTTGGATATTCAGAGAATTCCTTCATGGAGAGGGTTGTTCAGCCCTGGCATAGGGCAGTGGCGGAGCCAAATCCATGTGGACGTGGCAGTTGGAGACAGGGGTCTGTGGTGGCCTTGGCAGTGCTGGGGGAGTGGCTGCACACCAAGATCTCAGAGGTTTTTCCATCCCTAAGGATTCCATGATTCCTTATTCCTTAACTCTGCTCTCCCTGGTGCTGTTTCCATCCAGGAGAACGTGGAGCTCCTGGTGCAGGAGCTGAGAAGACCCAAGTACAGTGTCTACTTCATCTGTGAGTATGAAGAGCCCTGGAGGGGTCCTGGAGCTCCATAAATTTGGAAATCCCAGTGTGGATGGGACAGGCTGCACACCTCCGTGCACCTTCCTGTGCCAGCTGTGTCAGGCAGGGAATTCCCACATGTCCTGAATGTTCCATGGGTTTGGGAAGAGGCAGAATGACTCCAGCTGCTTTGGGGTTGCAGTGCAGTCCTGCAGGCCAGGAATGAGTCCCTAGGATGGCAGGAGCTGGGGGAAGTGGCCTCTAGATGTCATTGTGGCTCTGCAGGACGCTGGGGACATGGGCAGGGAAGGGTCGGGAGCATCCCTGGGATGTGGCTCAGGATTCCAACACCTGCAGGGTGAGAGGGGCTCTGTGGGATCTCTCCTGCTCCAGAGGGGAGCAGACTGCCTCCCCACAGGGTCTGCATGGAGCCCCCCTGTCCCTTCCCTGTTTCCTCCCAGATTTCAGCAACGTCATCAGCAAGAGCGACGTGAAGGCCTTGGCTGAGGCCGATGAGCAGGAGGTCGTGGCTGAAGTCCAGGTGAGGTTTGGATGTTTTAGGGAGATCCAAAAGCAAAGGGAAGGTCCAGGCTGCCAGACACTGGGAGCAGTTCCCAGCTGGTGCATGCCAGGCCTGGCTGGGAGGAGGGATGGACACAAATGTGGGATGGAGAGGTAAAAGACAGAAAATCTTTTCCATTTCTCTGGGATCAGCTGCTGCTGGTTTTGGTGGTTCACAAGGTGCTGCCCAGTTCAATCCATGTGGGTGTGGCACTTGGGGACAGGGGGCTGTGGTGGCCTTGGCAGTGCTCAGTGGTCTCCAAGGGCTTTTCCAATTCCATGATTCCATGTTTGTGGTGCTGATGAAGAGCACTGGAGCAATGCTGGAGAGGTTCAGGTTGGATTTTCAGGAGAATTCCTTCATGGAAAGGGTTGTTCAGCCCTGGCACAGGGCAGTGGTGGAGCCACCATCCCTGGAATTGTTCAGATCCCTGTGGATGTGGCACTTGGGGACAGGGGGCTGTCGTGGAGGGGAGCTGTCAGAGGGTTTGGGGTGGAGGGAGGAAGGATGATGATCTGAACCAGTGTGTGCAGGGGGTGGTGGGACCTTGGTCAGAGACACAGAACTGTCCTGTTCCCCTCTCCAGGAGTTCTATGGTGACTACATTGCAGTGAACCCACACGTCTTCTCCCTGAACCTGCTGGGCTGCTGTCGGGTAGGAACACAGCGAGTTGTTCTTGTTTTGGGTAAGGTATTGAACCCAGGAGGTTCCTCTGGCTGCCCTGGAGAGCTCCAGATCCTGGCACAGGGCTCAGAGACCTTGGCAAAGAGCCACAAACACCTTTGCCTTCCATTTTAACCATGGAAACAATTACCAGCTTTGTGTGAGGAGTTACAAGCCACAAGGGTCTGAGTATAATGATAGTGAATTTATCACAGGGTGAAAATGTGGAATTTTGGGGTTTTTAGAGGTTAAGGAGGCAGGATGGAGGAATCTGGGTGTGTCCTGTCTTTCTCCTTCTTCTTATTGTCCTCCATCTTCTGCTGGTGATGGTGACACTTCTGGATTGGTTTAGGATAGAGACAGACTGTCTAACATACGGGATAGATATTGGAAAATTATTGTAAATAAAGTACAGGTAGTTTTTAGTGTAAAAAGATACTGCCCCGAGGGTGGGCAGTGTGCTGGACAGATCTCAGCAGGTCAGAGAAAGAATTCCTGATATAATAGATAAGAGAAAATAAACAACCTTAAAAAGCAGAACTGAGGAATCCCAACTTCTTCGAGGAAGAAGAAGGTGGGAAAAAAGACTTTTAATACCTCAGGAGCCATTTCAGCAACAACAAACCCAACAAATCTCTCATAACCCAGGGCATTGGGGGGCTGCCAGAGAGGAATGGGTCTTGGCAAGGAGATTTTGTGTTCAGCCCCTGGGTGCCTGCTGCTCCAACACTGTTGTGTTTTCCTGTGACACTTCAGCACTTAGAAACAAGGGTGTGGGGAAGTTTGGGAGCTGTGCATCCATGTGAGGTGCAGCTTTTCCTTCCAGGGCCGCAGCTGGGACCCGGCTCAGCTCACCAGGACAACGCAGGGGCTCACTGCTTTGCTCCTGTCCCTGAAGAAGTGCCCCATGATCCGCTACCAGCTCTCCTCAGAGCCGGCAAAGCGCTTGGCCGAGTGTGTGAAGGTGAGAGCAGCCCACAGCTCAGCTTTAGGATGGATTCAGCCTTGGTTAGTTTTTTACATGTGGAGGGAAAAACCTGTTTGTCACTGCCATGTTTTCTGGAAAAGTCTTTTCACCAGGATTCTTCTCCTGGGAAGCTGAGAAGCCTCAGAGAAAAAGGAAACCAGTATTATCTCATTTGCTTCTCTTGTGTTTTGCTGCTTTGGAATGTAGTCTGGAGATTGTTTATCCAACAGGTGGTTGTTTGATTGGTCTCATGTAAATTGTTTTAACTTAATGACCAATCATGGTCAGGTTGTGTTGGGACTCTGGAAGAGCTCACAGTTTTCATTATCATTCTTTGTAGCCTTCTGTCTGTATCCTTTCTTTATTCTTTAGTATAGTTTAGTATAGCATCATATCCTATATTCTAATCATGATCATATATAATATATCATATATTATATGTTATATGCTGTATCTTATATGTCATATATTATATATGTTATGTATTATATATTATGTATTATATAAAATATTTAATATTTACTATTTACTACTTGCTATTTTATATAATATATAATATATAATATATAATATATAATATATAATATATAATATATGCCTTTTAAGAATATGGAGTCAGATATATCATTCCTGGGGGTCTGGGGACCCCAAAAATCCCACACCTGTTTTCAGTCAATTCCTCTGAATTCCATCAGTTACTCCAAGGCCCAGCACTGGTCATGTCCCACTCTGCTCCCAGTACATTCCTGGAGCAGTGTCCCAATTCCCTGGGGCCTTCAGCTCCTCCCTGGCAGTGCAGACAATGCAGCAGAGTTGAGCTTTCACCCTCCCTTCCCTCTGTGCCTAAATCCACGCTGAGAGGGAGCCTTTTCCAGGATTTCAAGAGGGATTTTTCCCATTTTTTCCCCCCTTTTCTCCACAGCAAGTGATCACGAAGGAGTACGAGCTGTTTGATTTCCGCCGCACCGAGGTCCCTCCCCTGCTCCTCATCCTGGACCGCTCGGACGATGCCATCACCCCCCTGCTGAACCAGGTGAGCCACAGCCAGCTGTGCCAGGCTGGGGCAGGTCACACCCAGCTGTGCCAGGACTGGGGCAGGTCACACCCAGCTGTGCCAGGCTGGGGCAGGTCACACACTCAGCTGTGCCAGGGCTGGGGCAGAGCACACCCAGCTGTGCCAGGACTGGGGCAAGTCACACACCCAGCTGTGCCAGGGCTGGGGCAGATCACACACCCAGCTGTGCCAGGCTGGGGCAGATCACACACCCAGCTGTGCCAGGACTGGGGCAGGTCACACACCCAGCTGTGCCAGGGCTGGGGCAGAGCACACCCAGCTGTGCCAGGGCTGGGGCAGATCACACACCCAGCTGTGCCAGGCTGGGGCAGATCACACACCCAGCTGTGCCAGGACTGGGGCAGGTCACACACCCAGCTGTGCCAGGGCTGGGGCAGAGCACACCCAGCTGTGCCAGGGCTGGGGCAGATCACACACCCAGCTGTGCCAGGCTGGGGAGCCCTGCAGCAGCTGGAGTTCAACCCCTGGCAGGTCATGGTTGGATGGAGTAGAGGAAAGTGTTGCTTCACACCTTCAATCCCTGCAAAATCCCTCTTTTATCCCTGGCTATGTTTTCCAGACCTGAGTGGGAGTTGTTTGTGCTGACTTCAGTGGCAGATGGACCCAGCACCTTGGGAAATGGGGCCACCAGCACTTCCATGTGGTTTCTGGAGCCCCAGTGCTTTGCAGGGCCTTTCCCAAGGGTTGTTTGTGGGGCTGTGAGTGACCTTGCCCTGCTGAGTCTCCCTCTGTTATTGATGGCTGCTGGATTTGCTGGGAGCTGTTGTATTTATTTGTTCCATGCTGTGCTGCAGATCCTGGCAGGATCTGTTGGTCTCCCTTCATTTCTGTGGGATCAGGAGTTGCACCTGGGTGGGACCAGCAGCCCCAGAGCTGCTGTAACACCAGTTCTGCAGGAGCTGGAGGTGACATCTGTGTCACAGCCCAGCCCACACCTGCTTTGTGGCGTTTAGGATTGCGCTCAGCATCAGGCATTCTCTGCTGTTTCAGGATTTCCTATCCCAAAGAGATTCCCGGGGATGTAAATGGAGTGTTGGGCACGGCAGGGCTCTGATCAGCTGTCACTGTTCTCTCTGGGTTATTTTTAGACTTCTCAGGATAAAAATAGAAACTCCTGATGTGCAGAAATGTTCCTGCCAGTGGAGCATGAAGGGAATTCTGCAGTGGACATGTGGGACTCTCCCTGCCCGGGCAGAAAGTTGGGGGGTTTGGTGGCCAACAGAGGTGTTGGAACAGGAATGATAATCCCCATCCCTCTTCAGTCCGTTTTGAAGGTTCCTGCAGGAATTCCTGATCTGGTGGGAGCTCTCCCTGCCGTGGGTGTAGTGTCCCTTCCAAGCCAAACCATCCCATGATTCTGGAGTGGCCCTGGAGGGGGGCAGTGTCTCCCCATGTCATTATTTACCAGTGATGTTCATTTTCACCAGCACGCCCTGGCTGCTCTGAGGGACACGTCCCAAACTCTGCTGCGTGTCCTGGCGTGGCAGGAGCAGCTCTGGCTGCCTTCAGCTGAACCCCATTGATTTCCCAGAGCTGTGTCTCACCAAGGTCATCCCTTTGCCTCCCTTTCCTCTGGCAGTGGACGTACCAGGCCATGGTCCATGAGCTGCTGGGCATCAACAACAACCGCATCGACCTGTCCCGCGTGCCGGGGATCAGCAAGGACCTGCGGGAGGTCGTCCTGTCCGCTGAGAACGATGAGTTCTATGCCAATGTAGGTGTCCAGGGGGGCTTCACCAGCACCCACAGCTGGGGGTTTGCCACAGGAAAGGAGATTCCCCGTGATTTTGGGGATTTTGGCACCCCTCAGGGTGGGGATGTGCCGTTTGTGACCATCGTTTTGCAGCATCAGTGACATCTGATGTGGGATAATGTCCTAGAAAATGTGTTTGTGGTTTGGTTTCAGAGCCTGCTGCAGGTTTGGGGGATGGAGTCGCCTTCTCCCAGCTGCTCAAAGCTCTTCCTTGGTCAAATGAGTTTCCCTGTGCTTCCCATCTTGTTCCACACAGAACATGTACCTGAACTTCGCCGAGATTGGCACCAACATCAAGAACCTGATGGAGGATTTCCAGAGGAGGAAGCCAAAGGAGCAGCAGAAGCTGGAGTCCATAGCAGATATGAAGGTACAGACAAAGCCCATCCCAGCTGTGTCCCGTCTTTTAATGTTAGGAGTAAATAACAAGCACATCCCTTCCAGAAACCTCCTGTGGGCTCCTGGGATTGAGGTGTCCCAGAGAATTGCTGGGAATTTGTACCATTTATGGCTGGCTGCACCCATCTTCTGCCATCTCCTGCTTTTCACTGCCTCAGTTTCCCCTCACAGGCCTTTGTGGAGAACTACCCTCAGTTCAAGAAGATGTCAGGCACAGTGTCCAAGCACGTGACGGTGGTGGGGGAGCTGTCCCGGCTCGTGGCAGAGAGGAACCTGCTGGAGGTGTCCGAGGTGGAGCAGGAGCTGGCCTGCCAGAGTGACCATTCCAGTGCCCTCCAGGTACCCATCCTGCCTCTGCATGGGGGGCTCTCACCCCATCTCTGCCTTGGGAGGGGGGATTTGATGCTGGCAGGCAGTGGGAGCTCCCTGTGGGGAGGGACACTGCGTGTGGAATTGCTGCTCAGATGGGAATGAGTCATGGTTAATAACTGGCTTGAGAAGCATCTTTGCAAATCCTGTCCTTACATCCCACAATCCAACATTCTTTCTTTATATTCAGCCAGTTGGTTTCTGGCAGACACCAGGGTAAAACAACCTCAGATGCTCTGCAGGAGCTGATGTGTTTGGGCAGGGGAAAAGCTGGAATCTGTGGAATTGTCTTTACCTATTTTTTTAAGAAAAGCCACTAGAAAGACTCTTAAATCCAAGATTTCTTTGGCAGAGAGGCCTGGAAAAGCTGGAGGGAGGTTCTGTGACAGCTGAGTGTGGCCCCTTGTGCTGTGGAGCAGGTCAGTGGTGATGGATTTGGGCTGGTGTTCAGCAGCAGCTCAGAGCAGGGCTGGAGAGTCTCAGTTCTCACTTCTGAGAAATGATTCCTTGATTTCCAGTAGTGCAGGGGGATTCCCAACACTTAGCAGACCCTTGCATGGCCCTGGGGAAGCAGAGGGGCTGGGAAATGAGGAAAAGCAGCTCCAGCAGCTTTGAGATCAGTTCCTTCCCCTCCTCTGTGGCTCTGAACTGCAGGTGGGGGCAGAGGGGGTAACAGTGTCCCCAGAGGTGGAATGTGCTCCCATCCCCGTGGAGCAGGGAGTGCAGGGATGGGATTCCATAGCTGCTGCCTGGCAGGATTTCCATGGCTGAGTGTGGAACTGGGACTGCAGCCAGGAATGTGTTTGCTGGAAGCAGCCTCTGAGGTCCTCGTGCTGTATCACTGTCTCCAGCTCAGGTTGTTGGGGTTTAAAAGTCAAATATTCCCAGTCTGCTCCCTCCCTGTGCTCTGAGCTGTGATTTTTGATGGGATATATACAGCACAGAGCTGGTGCCAGGTGAATCCTGGGGGTCACCTTGCTCCTGCTCTACACAAACAGCATTTCTGCAGTTTTAGAAATGCTGCCTCAGTTTCCTTCCAGCCCCTGGGAGATTTGCAGCAGCTTGGGAGTGAATGGAAACCCCTGGAGGTGGGATCGTTGTCCCTGCAGCCACCCCACCCTGGGCTGTCCCTGCTGCAGCTCCAGCAAGAGGGAAAAGGCCACGGGACAAGAAGCAGCAGCCAGAGCCTGGAATAAAGATGGAATTGTTCTCCCCTGATGTCACTTCAGGGATTGTTGGATCTCTGGTGCCCCAGTCTGGGACATTTGGGTTCTTCCTGCCCTGGGCTCTCATTAACCCTGACACGGAGCATGAATGGAGGGTTGGAATCCCAGCTCCTCCCATGGACAATGGGTTTTCTGTTCTCTGCTTCCTGCTGCTCCTGGCACTGCCAGCGCAGGAACCTCCCTGGGGCTCTGGTTCTCCCCTCACAGGTGAATTCCTGACCTTGAGTGGTGAAATTCCTCTTGGTCCTCCTCACAGCCAGGATTTTATGCTGGTTTTAGTCAGCATCAGTTAAATACATGCCAACAAACATCTGGGCCAGGGTGGTGAATTCAGCAGCAGGTCAGGAGTGATAACAGATCCCTGCTCTTCCCTGTAGCTGGAATCTCTCTTTCCATGCTTTAATTCCTTCCCTCCTTTGCTTCCAAATGTGCAGTTTGTTCCTCCACATCTCACATCCAAAGCTTTGCTGAGACTTTGATGCGTCTGCCTTGCACCTTCCAAAAAGGAAATGGAGTTGGGGGTTTTGTAGTGGTGGAACCTTTGGGGTGGAGCTGGAAAGACCCAGGTAGAACTTGGAGGTGTCTCAAAATCGCTGTGCACAACTTCCCCCTCCTGCAGCACCACAAGGGGCTCAGGATTGGTGTGTTGTGAATTCCCAGTTCCACGGAAAGCCCCAAAACCAACTTGTACTCCAGTAAATCCTCCTGTGAAACACCTGAGGGGCCGGGCTGTGGGGTTTGTACCACGCCTGCATCCTCCTGCATTGCCCGTGGCAGTTGCTGGGCAGCGAAACCGCTCTGATAAGTGACCGATAAGTGGCTGATAAGGCGGTGACACCGCTGGGGGTGTCTGTCTGTCCCCGTGTCCCCCAGCTGAGCAGTGCCGTGTGTGTGTCCCGCAGAGCGGTGACACCGCTGGGGGTGTCTGTCTGTCCCCGTGTCCCCCGGGCTGAGCAGTGCCTGTGTGTCCCGCAGAGCGGTGACACCACTGGAGGTGTCTGTCACCACTGGGGGTGTCTGTCTGTCCCCGTGTCCCCCGGCTGAGCAGTGTTCTGTGTGTGTGTCCCGCAGAGCAGTGACACCGCTGGGGGTGTCTGTCTGTCCCCGTGTCCCCCGGGCTGAGCAGTGCCTGTGTGTCCCGCAGAGCGGTGACACCGCTGGGGGTGTCTGTCACCACTGGGGGTGTCTGTCTGTCCCCATGTCCCCCGGGCTGAGCAGTGCCGTGTGTGTGTCCCGCAGAGCGTGCGGCGGCTGCTGCAGAGCCCGCGGCTGTCGGAGCTGGACGCGGCGCGCCTGGTGATGCTCTACGCGCTGCGCTACGAGCGCCACGCCAGCAGCGGCCTCCCCGCACTGCTGGAGGAGCTGCGCGCCCGCGGGGGCAGCGACAGGTACCGCAAGGTAACCCTGGGATGGGGTAAAACAGGGACAGGTACCGCAAGGTAACCCTGGGGAGGGGTAAAACAGGGACAGGTACCGCAAGGTAACCCTGGGATGGGGTAAAACAGGGACAGGTACCGCAAGGTAACCCTGGGGAGGGGTAAAACAGGGACAGGTACCGCAAGGTAACCCTGGGATGGGGTAAAACAGGGACAGGTACCGCAAGGTAACCCTGGGATGGGGTAAAACAGGGACAGGTACCGCAAGGTAACCCTGGGATGGGGTAAAACAGGGACAGGTACCGCAAGGTAACCCTGGGATGGGGTAAAACAGGGACAGGTACCACAAGGTAACCCTGGGGAGGGGTAAAACAGGGACAGGTACCACAAGGTAACCCTGGAGAGGGGTAAAACAGGGACAGGTACCGCAAGGTAACCTGGGGGGGAACAGGTACTGCAAGGTAACCCCAGGGAGGGACAGGACCGGGGCAGGTACGGGGGTAACCTCGGGGTGGGGTAGGATGGGACAAATAACCCCGGGGTGGGACAGGACAGGGGGGCAGGTACCACAAGGTAACCCCAGGGAGGGACAGGACAGGGGCAGGTACCTCAGGGTAGCCCCAGGGTGGGGCAGGTACCATGGGGTAACCCCGGGGTGGGGCAGGAGGGGACAAATAACCCTGGGGCAAGGCAGGTACTGCCAGGTAACCCTGGAGTGGGGCAGGATGGGGAGCAGGTACCCCAGCGTCCCACAGGATGGGGGGGTAGGTACCACCAGGTAACCCTGGAGTGGGGCAGGTACGCCCAGGTAACCCCAGGGTGGGGCAGGATGGGGGGCAGGTACTGCCAGGTAGCCCCAGGATGGGGCAGGACAGGGGCAGGTACCCCAATGTCCCACAGGATGGGGGCAGATACCACCAGGTAACCCCCACCAGGTACCCCCAGGTAACCCCAGGTGGGACAGGTACCCCAACGTCCCACAGGATGGGGAATCTCTGCTGTTTGGGGTGAAACCTGCCTCCTCCAGGTCAGCCCAGGGTTGTGCTGTTGCACAGAGCTCGGCTGGGACCTGTGGGTGTGGCTTTAAAAGGTGTTTTAAGTAAGTGACTCAATTTCCATTTCCTAAATCAGTGGAAATGAGGCAGAATGACTCCGGCTGGTTTGGGGTTGAAGTCCAGCCCTGCAGCCCAGGAATTGGTGAATGGGGGTTGGACTCCAGAGGTCCCTTCCACTCCTGACCAGTCACTGATTCTGTGATATTCTGAAGGATTTAATAGAGCAGGGGTGGCAGGAGCCTGCTGGGAGGGGAGTGTGGCACCTCCGTGGGCCTGGGCTGTGCTTCCTCTCTTCTCTTCCTCCCCCACTCTGCCCAGCTCCTGCAGCACCAGGCAGTGGCTGCAGCGAGGGGCTGGGGATGGAGAGGAGCTGGCAGGGAGGGAACAGGCAGCAGTGCCAGGAGCAGCTGGGGAGGAGGTGGAGGAGAGGGATGATGTCACCCTGTGTGGAGGAGCTGCTGCAGGCGATGGAGATGGAGATGAAGCTTCTCCTCAAGCAGGAGGGTCGGGGCGGGCTGGGGGACGTGGGGGTGCTGCTGCTCTGCCCCCTCACCTCCGTGTGCGGTTCCACTGGGATCATCTCCGTGGCTCCTTGTCCCTATGGGGTGTCTGCAGTGGATCCTCACTCCTGGAGGGGGTGCCAGGCTGACGGGCTGTGCCCTCTCCCTGCACAGCTGGTGTCTGCCGTGGTGGAGTACGGAGGGAAGCGCGTGCGGGGCAGTGACCTGTTCAGCCCCAAGGACGCCGTGGCCATCACCAAGCAGTTCCTCAAAGGCCTCAAGGTACCAAGATTGCTTGGGGAAACGGGGACAGGCTCAAAACTGCAGCCCAGAGCAGGAGCAGGGCTGGCAGGGCCTGATTGCACTGAGAACAACAGGAGTGAGCTGCTGGAGAGCTTCTCAATCCTAAATTCAGGGCTAGAACCTGCTGTGCCTCTGCTGATCCTCCTTCCTTGCTGGGCCACTTCCTAAAGAGCTTCTGTCTGGCCACAGGGCATTGAGAATGTGTACACCCAGCACCAGCCCCTGCTCCAGGAAACCCTGGACCAGCTCATCAAGGGGAAGCTCAAGGACAGCCAATATCCCTACCTGGGCCCCAACACACTCCGGGACAGGTACGTGGGGCCTGTGGGGCACAGCCTGCACTGGGACACAGCAGCTGGGACATCCCTGCTGTCCCCAACACTGTCCCCACAGCAGGGTGGGACTGATGGTGAACAGAGCTGGGGATTGGCACAGAAATCTCTTGGTTGTAGAGGTCTTGTATCCCCAGGGATGTTCCCAGGACTGGGGTGTGCCTCACCCTGGCTCAGATGTGCCATTCCTGATGGGTGCCTCAGGTGAAGGATGAAGCCCTCACCCAGCAGAGGAGGCAGGAGCAGCTTTGCTCCAGGTCATGCTGTCCATGCAGTGATCCAAGAAGGAAATCCCTGGTGTTGGTCCTTCCAAGGGATTGGGAAGGTGGTTACAGGAGAGGGAAGGAGCAGCTCATTGGAAAGCAGGATGTGCACAGCACACTGAGTTTGTGTTGGGATAGAGAAAGGTGCTTCCCTCCTTCCTTTTGCTTTGCTTCTCTCAACCATCCCACATCTCCCTGCTGGCTGGGAAATGTCCCTTCAGGTGAACTGAGGCACAAATCCTGGCACTTCCTGATCAGCCTGGGAGCTCCAAGGCAGTTCTGTGTCCTTGCCTGACTCCAGAATCGATCCTGATTTCCAGCCCCAGCAGATCATGCATTAAACACGGCACGTGGACCCACAGGGATCGGGGTGGTGCTGCTGGAGTCAAAGTTCAGGAGAGGTTTGGGGCATTCAGTGGGTTGTTTTCAGCTCCACAACACAGGGATGAGGGAGGGTCTAGAGGAGGCACCCTCAGGATCATGGATCTGCCTCCAAGGTGCAGGATTTATCCTTGGTTTGTCTGATCCCAACTCAATATTTGTGGCTGCTCCATGCCAGAAATTGTCCAAGGCCAGGTTGGTCGGGGCTTGGATCCACCTGACTGCAGAACTGATCCTGATTCCCCAGCCCCAGCAGATCATGCATTAAACATGGCACGTGGATCCACAGGGATCGGGGTGCTGCTGCTGCTGGAGGCTGCTCAGGGCTCTGGGTGAAAGTTCAGGAGAGGTTTTGGGGCATTCAGTGGGTTGTTTTCAGCTCTGAGCCCAGCACATCACAGGGATGAGGGAATTCTTTAAAGGAGGCACCCTCAGGATCATGGATGTGCCTCCAGAGTGCAGGATTTATCCTTGGCTTTGTCTGATCCCAACTCAATGTTTGTGGCTGCTCCATCCCAGAAAGTGTCCAAAGGCTTGGATCCACCTGCTCTGCTGGGTGTCCCTGAGAGCTTTTAGGTCCCTTCCAGCCAAACCACTGCATGATTTGTGCTTTTATCCCAGGCCTCAGGACATCATTGTGTTCCTCATTGGTGGAGCCACCTACGAGGAGGCTCTGGCTGTGTTCAACCTGAACCGCTCCAACCCCGGCGTCCGCATCGTGCTGGGGGGCACCACCATCCACAACACCAGGAGGTAAAATCCAGCCCTGGATGCTGGCACGGCAGGAATTTGGGAGATCCCACGTGGAAATGGGTGTCAGTGCTCTGGAGCCAGCTCTGCTCGTGCTGGCTCAGGGACAGATCCCTGAGCTGGAGGTTTAACTTGAATTTCCATGAGTTCAAGGGCAGGAAAGGAGAGTTTTCCACAGAGTTTTTCTAGTTTATAACACAGGGCAGCACATGGGAATTCAGCACTGAACGAACCTGCAGCTGCTTTGCTGAAGGTGGGCAAAAATCCCTGTCAGTATGGAATTCCCAGTGGGAAATGTCTGGTTTATAAAGACAAATAACTTTTCCTGGTTTATAAATACAAATAATTTTTCCTGAACCCAAATGATTCACTTTGGGCACAGGAAAGAATTGAGGCCACAGTGGGAATTGCTTCCTGGCCAGGCAGGAGAGCAGGAATTCTCTGAATTCTCAGGAATCTCTCCAGATTCCCAGTGCTCAGTGTGGGATGGTGGGAAAATCCTGAGATGAAGCTCAGGATCTGCAGCTCCAGCACTGGATCTGCTTGGATTGGTGCTGCTAGAAGCCACCCTGGCTGGTTTGGGCTCTGCTGCTGTGCAGTCCCTGAATTATTTACAGAAAAACTGGGATTCTGTGTCCAAATTTGCATTTCAAAGAATGAGGTGGGGAGGGAAAAAAAAGGAAAATAAAAGGTAGGGCTGGATGTGGCCTGGTCCTGCCTGGGGAGGACAGCAAGGGACCTGTTGTGAATCAGCCCTGTCCCAAATGATCCATTTTCTCTTGGATAAGGTTTCCCTGAGCATGGAAGGACAATAAAACTGTCTCCTGCCCATTGTTATCCACAATTCCAGCACAGTGCCCCAGGATCAGGGATATCTCAGCACACCCATCCAAGGAAAGCCAGGTTTTAGTGTGTCCCAACCCCTCACCTAATCCATGGCCTTGCTGATTCCTGTGGGATTAGGGCAGATATGTCACCAGAAACAAGGGGATTTGGCTGTTAATGCACAGAGCAGCCGTGTAAGCACCTAAATCCTGCTGCCATTGTTCCTCCTCCCTGCTGCAACTGGGACCAACATCTGTGAGCCCTCAGGGGTGGCCCAAAGGATGGAGAATCTGCTCTGCTCCCAGGGATTCCAGAGCAATGCCACAGGGTTTGGAGGAGAAAGGGTTACAGAGGATCAATAATCGGATCAGAAGGGCTGCAGGAACATCTGGTGCTGGGGCTGACTCATCCTGGCCACGTTGAGACAAACCTGCTGGGACTAATCCAGGATGTGGGGCCTGACCCAGTTACCCAGTTAGAGCCACACTGGTGCCACTGGGTGCTCCTGGGGACTGCACCAGGCTCATTTCTCCTGGGAGCTCCTGGGTGGAGCAGCTGTGAAGGTTCCTGCAGATGCCTCTGCTGGGTCCTTCCTCAGCTGTGGAGGTTCCTGCAGATGCCTCTGCTGGGTCCTCAGCTGTTCCTGCAGGATCTGCAGGTCCTTGGAGCAGCAGAGGGGGTTGTGCTGTGGTGCAGCTCATTTTTAAAGGGCAGGTGGGAGTTTGGCTCATTCCTTCACTCACTCCAGACTGGGAATGTGCTCTGAGGGACCCTGAGGTGTCACTGGTCACAGGCACAAGCTGCTGCAGACAGCACAGAACCAGAGACCATAAAAGCAGCAGTCATTCCCTGCCAGAGCTCAGTTCTGCCTGGTTCTAGTGCCTAAAAATAACCTGGAGGAGGGAGAGCTCGGGCTGGAACACACAGCCAGGTGCCAGAGCTGTGCCAGAGCTGGTGCCACCGTGGGCAGTGCCCTGGCTGTGCCCCCTCCCAGCTGTGTCTGGTGGCACTCAGAGCTGGGGTTGCTGCAGGGTTTTGCAGGAGATTTTAGGGTTTTACTCTTTTTCAAACTTCTCAAGATTCACAACCTGAGCTGCTCCAGCCCCAGTTTAGGGGAATCCCATTTCTGCAGGATTTGTGGCATCTCTTGGTTTGTATTTCTTTATCTTTTGGGGTATTTTTGAAGCATTGCTGTTGAGATCACCTGATGAGCACACTGAGGGATGAGTCAGCCTGGGCATGGCCGTGGTGTCTCATTGCCAGAGGAACCATCCTCGGGCAGGATCCTTCCAGCTGGGAGCATTGCTGCCCTTGGGAGCTGCTCCCAGCCACGGGTGGGTGATGCCAGCAGGCCTGAGGATTGTGCTGGGGACAATCACAGTCCCTCAGGCCTTGGACATCTCTGGGACAAGGCCATGAGCCCCTCTGGCCCTTGTTCACTGACCTGAGGCTTTCCCAGCAGCTTCCTGGAGGAGGTGACAGCCGCAGGATTCCGCGGTAGAAGCACTGAGAGCTCCCAAGTCCCACCAAGGTCCAGCAGATGGTGAATCCTGAAGAAATGAGGGGTTTTTTGAACATTCAGAGCTTTCCCAGAGCAGAGCAGAGCAGGATGTTCCTGGCCTGCAGCTGGAGCTTCCCCTCCACACCCAGAATGGCAGCGAGTGCTGCAGCTGGCACTGGATGTGCCCCCACTGCAGCTCCTCATTGTCCCCTCACAAACTGCTCCAGGACTGGGATGGTCACCTGAGGAGAGCCTGGGAAAGCTCCTGAATCCCTGCAGCTCTGCACAGGACACATGAATGAGTCCCATGAGGAGCCCATGCAGGGGGAGCAGCTGTGGGGGTCTGGTTGGGGGGCACAGGAGCCCTTTGCTGTTGTCTGTATATGTTGAATCCTATTAAATCCCCCACTTTGGCCAAATCTGTCTCCTAGATGATTCCCACTTTCCCTTTCCCAAGGCCACAAGGTGCAGTTACAGCCTGAGCCTCCATGGGAGCTTTTGCTCCCCTCCAGGACCACACCAAGGAACCTGCAAGTGCATTTCCAGCTCTGCTCCCTGGCCTCTAATCAGCACTTGATTGGGAATTAACAAGCCAGATCAAATGAAATGAGCTCCTAAATCCCTGGGAATTATCTTGGCATCACAACTAAGTCCTGTTGATGTGGGAGAGAGCAAAGCCCTGCAGGGAGGAGGGGACCTGGGCAGCTCTGTGGGGAAGGAAGGGGGGACACAGCCTGTGCTGGGGTGGAACTGGGTGGGCACCAAATTTTTAGTGAATTTTGGGTTGTTGGGACAGGCAGAGCTGTAAGAATTCCCCCTTAGAGGTGACTCAGGTGTCTGAGAGCCCAAGAGAGGGGAGCTGTCAGAGGATACTGAGCAGCCCCTGCCCCATCCCCTCCTCCAGCAGCCCCTTCCCCAGACACCAATGCTGTAATTGTTGTCAGAGGCACAGAAAAGCATGTGTCCTAATTAAACTCCCAGGCAGCAGCTTCGCACTTGATATCCAGAGGCAAAATGCTGTGTGGGGGGTGTTAAATACATAAATAAACCAGGAGTTTGCCGATCTGCTCTGCAAGAAGAGGCGATTTTGGCAACTGTTTGTTGTGGAGCAGCACAAGGAGCAGCTGCAGCTGCCAGGGGTAGCAGAGGGGGTATGGGAATACAGGGAGAGACATAAACACCTTGGAGAGGCTTTTGGGGATGAAAAGCTGCACTGCCCATGTCACTGTCCCACTGGGGAGCAGCCTCAGTGCTGGAAGTGCAGCCTCCTGTTCCTGGTACAGAAATGGGAGCTGGCTTCCCTCCTATCTCCTTCCTTCCCTGTAAATTGTTGATGTTTCCAGCTCTGAATCATTGGTCACATCCTTCACAGCGTGTGACTCACTGGCAGAACAGCCTGAGGCTTCCAAGTGCAGCTGAATTCCTGCTCCCAGGGATGTGTGCAGGTGTGCTGTTATGTGCTGTTACCTGCTGTGGCTTCAGGGCAGCTTCCCTGGCACCAGAGGGCATTGGGGAAGAGCGTGGGCCCTGCATGCAAAGGGCACAGCAGGGCTGTCCCACTGCCACCAGCTCTGTGCCATCTGCTGTTGGCCACCAGCCGGTGCTCTGCAGGCCCTGGCCACCAAAAACAGGATGGGAGGAAGGACAAGTGCAGTTGGAAGGGAAAATGTCATTAAATAAACTGGCAGGTTGTGTGTGATGTCCTGGGGAGGCACTGGGGGCCAGTGTGGTTCATCTGTCCCTCTGCCACCAGCCCTGCGTGGACCAAGCTTTGGGGTAAAGGGGAAACTGAGGCACACAGATGGCAAATCCTGGTCCCCATGGAGTTGGGGATTGCAGAGGTACAGGAGGAAAGGCAACCCCTGGATTTGGTGTAGAGTGATTTGTGTCTCTTCTCAGGTATTGTCAGGTAGCTAGTGACCCCACAGCTCATGGCAGAAATGCCAATGCTCAGAATGGGACACAAACACTCACAGGAGCTCTGGAAATACTCCAAGTACATCCCCAGGACTCTGGGGGCATTAATTCCAGATTGGGGTGAAACTAAAACTTGAAATCAGGGGTGGGGGTGTCCAGGGATGGGATGGATGCTGTCATTGGAAAGCTGATCTCCTGATGGACGATGGATCAATCTATTCCTTGCAGGACATGAAGGAGACAGACAAAATAAGCCAAATAAGGGCATTTTTAGGGAGCTGAGTGTCTCCTCACTTTTGGAAGCCGTGCTCTAAATCCTGACTGTCAGACCCTCCGTGCTGGAAGAAAATCTCCCATCTCCTCTCTCCAGAGGGATTTCCCCCCACTTCCAAACACCTTTAGGGGATGAATTCCTCCCAGCACCACCCGGCTGCGTTTCCCTCTCCCATAAACTTTCCCGGTGACCCACGACACCGCCGGGAACGCGGCTATACCCCGATGGGAGCACCCCACCGGCGGCACCGCCCGCCCCTCTCCCGCTTCCCCGCGGCCCCGCTCGAGTGAGAAACAAAGAAGAAAAACCCTCGTGGGCTGCGATTCGCCCCGTGCCGCGAACCCCGACGTCACGGGCGTGCGGCTATAGATGGAGCTCGGGAGCCCGGCGCAGCCCAGCGCAGCCCCCCGAGCTGCGGGATGGTGGCGGCGGGGGGGGACGCGGCGGCGGCGGCGGCGCTGCCGATGCCTCAGAGCACCGGGCCGGGCTCCGTGTAACGGGAGCGGGGCCCTGAGCCGAGCGGGCCGAAGGCAGCGCGGATCGCGGGTGTTCCCCGCTGCCAGGAGGCCGCGGGAGCCCCTCTGCGACCCCCGCCCCGAAATCGCCTCGGAGCGCACTGAGGAACGATGAAAAAAAATAATAATTCTGCAAAAAGGGTGAGTGGGAGATTCGCGTCTTGGCCGGGGGGAGGGAGGCTCCTGGATGGTTTGGGGAGGGGGGGTTGGATCTTCGCTTCTGCTCCCCCCGTGGAAAGCGCACGGACCCCCAAAGAGACCCAGACCCCGCTCCAGGCCTCCCGCAGCCGCCTCAGGCACCGGGGGATGCAGGCAGGCAGTTTTCATCTTGGAACACAAGGAAACGATAAAATCCGGAGGCACCATCAATCCCTCGCTCTTTGCCGTGTTGTGTGTGTGCTGCACCCTCCGCTGCCTACGGAGACACCTCTGATACAAACCCCCCATAGATTTCACCTCTTGGATTAATTGCTGATAAAAAGCTCCAAAATGCCATTTTCGCCGCAATATAAAAACCCCAGCTGGTTTAAATTCCGCCCATCCCCCTCCTGTTCCCCTTTCCACGGGTAAATGCCCGCTGGATGAAGCGATAGAGACGCCGGCCTGGCTTATATAACACGGAGAGAACCCTGCCCGCTCCTCGCAGCGTCCTCCCGGTGCTGCCGCTGCACAAAAATCCCCGCGGAGCGACCCCGGGCAAGGACTCGGGCCCGGCGTTCGGCGGAGAGAGGGGGAGACAAAAGTTGGGCAAAGAGGGAAGTGGGGTGTGGGGAGAAAAGGAGTGTGAAACCAAGAATAATCGCGTTTTTTCCCCCCATTTTCTCCCCTCTCGCTTTGTGTTAGGGGAACCAGGATGGAAACCAGCAACCTGCGCAGCCGGAGAAGGTCGGCTGGGTGCGGAAATTCTGCGGGAAAGGCATTTTTAGGGAAATCTGGAAAAACCGTTATGTGGTTCTGAAGGGAGATCAGCTTTACATCTCGGAGAAGGAGGTAGGATCGGTTTCAGTTTCCTTTCCCATCCCCCCTTCCTCTCTCTTTGCATATGAAAGGCGCAGCCCCGGCCCTTCCCAGCGCCAGCCGGGCCCAGGGGGTTCCTGGGGGGCTTCTCCTGCTCCTCCCCGGGGCTGGCGCCGGCCGGGGTCGGGCTCGGGCTCGGCTCTGACAGCGATTCCACAGCCAGCTCTGCTGGGAGACATTTTCCCGGCGTGGAGACACGAAAGGATTGACTTAGCGAGAGTTAAGCCCCTCCAACCTCTCCCCAGCAATGCCGGCTCCTTTCTGTGCCTGTCCTTGAGCCCAGCGCTGCCTTGTTCCCAGCTGCTCACTCTCTGGTTGGAAATAACTCCGCTCTCCCGGCTGCAATCGAGCCATTTACAGGTCGATCTCTTGGATTTTTCATGAAATTTCATCCTGGTGTGACACGTGCCCTGCCCCGGTTTCCTTGCTGGGTTTGGGGTTTAACGTGCTGTTGGCATTGGAGATAATCGGATGTGACTGCCAGGCTGAGGCAGCACCTGGCTGTCCTTGCACGCCCCCCCTGTGCTTTTTGTCTCAATAAATCCAGCAGGAAGAACTCCCCAGGCCAGAGCCTTCCTCCCTCCCATCCTCTGTGACATCCCAGAGCTGCACTGGGCAGCGTGGTGCCCACAGCAGGCAGGGGATTGCTCCAGCTCAGGGAATTTGGGATAAAATCCTGGTTTCTCTGGGTTTTCCCCCAAGTGGAGGTGATTTCCTGACAGTTGGATGCCTGGCCTGGCTCTACCTGGAGAGAGGAAGGGATAATTTGATTTAAGGCTGGTTGAGCCATGGATGTGGCACAGGTCAGGGCTTGTTACAACAGAGAAATGGCTTTAAAAAGTGGATTGAATGCCCAGGTGGTGCTGAGCTGCTTGCTGGCATTCCAGAGCTTGTCCCATCAACTGCTCCAGAGCCAGAGGGAAACACAGGAACAGCAATAGATGTCCAGGTAGCTACAGCTCAAATCCAGGTGTGCTGGGAGCCCAGGAGAGAGATGAGGCTGGAGGGGCCACGCAGAGCCTGCTCTGAACAAGAAGTTCTTGTGTTTGTGTTTCATAGAGGGAAAACCTCACCGGTTTTGAGGTTGAGGCAGCCCCATGTGTGTGAGGGACCATAAATAACCTGCAGCAGCCTCTGCTGAGGCTTTATATGGAAGAATGTGTGGCCAGCAGAGATGACATCTGCTGCTGGAGCGTGCTGAGGTGACTATGCTGGCCATGGAGGTGACACCGTGCTGCTGCTGTGCCCTGAGGTCACTCTGTGCTGGCCATGGAGGTGACACCGTGCTGCTGCTGTGCACTGAGGTGACTCTGTGCTGGCCATGGAGGTGACACCGTGCTGCTGCTGTGCCCTGAGGTCACTCTGTGCTGGCCATGGAGGTGACACCGTGCTGCTGCTGTGCCTCTGTGCCCGTGGCATCCTGGGGGTCTCATTGTGGGGAGTTCCTGGGGTGTCTCAGAAGGTGCTGCAGGGTTTGATGCCAGCTTAGCAAAGCCAGGAGCTCTCCTGGGCCCCAAGGAAGGTCGATATGTGGCTCCAGGCTCTGCTCCCACAGCTCCTGCTGTTTCCTGGCAGCTCCGATCATGCTCAGCAGCTGCTCCAGAGGTGGTTCTGCAGGTGAAGCCACATTCCCAGTCCTCCCCACCATCTCAGAGCAGAAAGGGTTAAATCCCAAGGCTCCTGGAAGCTCCTCAGCTCTGTTAAATGAATTCAAACCAGACATTTGTTTACTTTTGCCTGAATTTCTCAATCTGGGAAGCAGGGCAGTGAATCCCATCTCCCCAGA